GACTGAAACCCTGTAATCTGGACTAAGAAGGGCAAATAATCATCTTGGGTAAATGAGGACCCTGCTTTTAGAATCCATAAAGGAAGATGGCTGCTTGGTAAAAGAAAAGCATAAAAAGACTGGCTGAAACTAAATTTTACCCCTTATTTGTAGACCCTAGTGCATTCCAGACTTGTTTATGAGAAAATACATGAACACCTTTACAAGGTGTTTTTCTTTGTCTATTCTAGGATTTTGAGTAAAGTCACAACTGTTTCAATACAGAGAACCTGGAAGTTATGTTTGTCTTTTTAAATATTTTGTTTCCTCTTGGCAGTATGTCAATCCAGCTTTAAAGAGTCACATGGTAGATAACAGGAATGATACAAGCTGAAAAATTATTTTCAGTAACTATATTTGGGTTGGCTCCTAGTTCAGTGTCAGAACAAAGACTCAAGGACTGTGGGAATACTTAGTAAAACTAAATTGTTTTGGTACTGCTTCACTAGTATTGTAAAAAGCTATACCAAGGAGTCCTGAATTACCAAGTTTATATGTCTCCAGCTTTATGAAAACTGACTGAAACCATTTGGTTTGAATTTTCCATCTGAGAAGCCTTTGTGCAATAAACAGCAATAACACTCAATAACAAACTGAGTCTTAATCTGTCACTGCTTGTTCTGGTTTTAACTATGGAAGCTTCTCTCAATCACACATTTAATGTATGATCAAGCCAAAATTCAACTGAAGGAATTTAGCAATTATGAAGTAAAAAGAAAATCAGTATTTCAAAGTATCACTAAACCTACATACACGCATTTTCTATAGCATTTGAGGAATTATTTTTCCCATGCCTCTGGTAGTTGCAGAACACAGGCAAAGTCCTTCAGTATGATCAATTTGTCATAAGGCAAAAGGCTCACTGGCTCAAAAACATCTTTAAGGAAACACAGAATTCATACTTTAATGCTTCTCTGTACCCAAGTTTTTACTGGTCTTGTTCAATGCTATGAAAATACCCTCAAGAGAAAAAAGGGAGTGACCACTGGATCAGATCTATGGAAATGATAAGTAAAGCACAGAGCCGCTACACTGCTGAAGGGATATCAGTGACTTAAATCAGAGACAAAAGGGTACCCAAATGTTAAAAAAAAAACCCACCAGATAGCAAGAGACATTTTTGTTACCCAGATGATTTACATGGTTTCCATTGATTTCTACAAATGTTTAACAGTAAGCAGAGGAATAGTATTACTGATACCTTCAGATTCCCAAACAGTTCCAATTACATACAAGGCCGGACAGAGCTATCATCTTGACAGAGCTAAGACATCAAGAACAACGTGAAGTTTCTTACACTGAGAAATAATTTAAAGCAATGCTGTAATTTTAAGGCAGAAGTGGAAATGAAGTTATAGCATATCAGAAGTCTTACTTGCAGGTAAAGCTCCTCTCCTTTACATAATTTCAGATAGGTTGTAGTCAGTAAAAGAAGGTAAAAAAAAGCATCAGTGGGCATACACATCTTTAGATTTACTGTAAATCATTTAGTTTCCTATTTGATGCTGTTCACATAATTTCCCATGGCTCAAACTGTCACAGCGCTTTTGTTCAACTGCACAGGGGGTAATACACAGTTGCTGGAGCAGGTGTGACAGCAGAATATCTTGGAGTGATGTTCCATGGGAACACCAAAGCTCCTTGGCTTCTCCAATCCCCTTCAACTCCTCTCTTCAAGTGACACAAAGACATGACTCTTCACAAACCGTAACACCTCAACTGTTATCAGGCTATTACTCCTCCACACTGCCTATGGTACATCCAAATTAGAAGGCTCTATGTGTATCATGGGAACAAAAACAACAGTTGCTTTGATTCTGAAACTAGTTCAAAGTCTCTGCTAGGGCTCTGAAATTAAATATCCCTTCCAGTAAAAATGGGTAAGTCAAATATGTTATTCTGTGTCTTGAATTCTAATAAATGTTTTCATTAACAGAAAACAAACATAGCAAAAGACATACTGCCTGCCATCCAATACTACAGAAAACTACACACCACCATGGAAAAGCTGCCCATAGAGAAGTATGTCATCCCCTCTTATGAAGAGATAAATAGTTACAGAAATAATTTTGAGGCATCTAGCTTGCAGCAAATCTGGTTACAGTTTCAGAAATGGGGCTTCACCATTTCCCAAATCACTCTGGTGAAATGGATCAAGGTAGGCTCATCTTTTAGAGAACCTATTTCTAATTCAGCAAAAATTTCAAGTTCCAGCTAAGATACACCACTACTGGTGAACAATGCTCAGCGACCATTTTGAAATTAAAAAACCCCAGTTATTTCTAACCTAATATACTCTTCAAATAACCTCACAAAAATACAGTGTTTGGATATGTGTTTTGCTGTCCTTCTGCTGTCTTCTGTTCATGTGAGAATCAGGAAATTTCCTGAGAAGAAATCCTTTCTACTGGGTTAGTATGTTACCAGTGAGTACTTAAGTTTTACAAGTGGAAAAAAAATTACCAAAATCTCAACTCCTGACAAGTTGCAAGGATCTTATAACTGGTGTTTTATATATGGCATTTTTATTTTCATTTCTTGAACAACCATTGTGTGAACACAGTCCTCACAAACTCTTGATTATTCTAGGAATAATACACACACTAGTACACTTTGGACAGAGGCATTATTTCTGTGCTTCACCATACACATATGATAGTTGACATAGAGCCATACTGTCATTTTTCTTGCTCAAAGTATTTCATGGATTCAACTACACAAACTTCTCTTTTGTCGCCCAGTGATCCAAATACCATGAGTAACTAGCTAAGAAATAGCTGCATACATGTTACTACCTCAGGAAGAAACAAGTTATTAGGATTTGTACATTTTTAAAACTCAACTTGACAAATGGCTGAACAACACAGTCTGAATTCTGTCAGTCTGTACTGACCCAGTTAGAGGCAGCAGGGGCTGGACTGGGTGACCTTCAGAAGTCCTTTCCTTTCTGGATTTAGCTTGTCTGTCTATAGTCTGACAAAATCCTGACAGCAAACAACTGTACAGCTACTGAGTGATTTATCTTGGGGCTGAAGTTTAATACCAACGTGTTCAAATGACTCCACTGGAAAAAATAGTTATTCCCTTCAGGAATGCTTTAGCCTAAACAGGTATCTGGGTTTGGTTTACAGACTGCCACTTTGTCACATAAAGTGTATGTACAGTTTTACTTCAAAAATGTTAAAAACAGAAGGGGTAAGCAGCAGTAGATCTGGTTTTACCTGAAAGGTATGAATGCATAATACTTTGGGGGTTTATCAGCAATCCCAAATAACTCATACTTTGCCCCATATTCCACCCCATAACCCCATCCTCTGATTTCCATCAGTACAAGGTTTGCCAGGGAGCAAGGATACATGTTTGAAAACTCCTTTTGTAAGGGATGGGGAAGTTAGCCTGATACAGTTGAATGCATCAAATCCTACTTTATAGCACCAAGACACTGCATAAACAATATGAAGGGCTGCATGTGCTACAAACAGTGAGCTAGGAACAGGGGGCTGGGGAAAGGGCATGGAGAAAACAAATGTTTTCTCATGTGCAGCATTGAAGTTCCAGTCTTACCAGATCACACATCAAGTCTGAAATTAGTTAAAATGGCGCTTTATGCCTTTAGTTTAAGCAGCCTTTTTTCAGTAGGAAAAATTTGGAAACTATTCCACTGACTACTGTAATTTCAATATATATTGATTAGTTAAGGAGTGACAGGTTTATCTTTAAAAAAAAAATCTGGTCAGTAAATGTTTTATTTATTAACAAAAACAAATTACTTCTGTTTCTTCTCAAAGTAAATGTAATTTTTCTTTTTTTCTGGAGGGAAGAAGTTAGTCCTATAACTCACCTATGCTTACATTTATTTCTAGTGATAGTATCATAACTCTTATCTGGATTAATAACCTAAAGGAAAACTCTATATCTATATCCATCTCTCTTCTTCTAAGGCCATAATTACAGACAAGGAAGCTCTAGGCTGGTATTTAGAGGGGTGATGAGTTCTCCAAGAAACTGGCAGCCTACAGGTTGGTGCCTGGTTCACTGTGCAAGTGCCTCACATGAGCAAGCCTCAAGTGAAAGAATAGCTTATACCCACTTTCTTTGAGGGACTCATCCCATAAAGGAATACATACACAGATTTTATCACACTTCACCACCTATATATAATTAAGAAACTATTTTTTACTGTTTTATAATCTTTGATTGAGTGGGTTAAAAAAAAAAAAAAGGAACAGGTTTCACTGGGTATAGCTGGGTGTGTACTTTCCAAATTACAGTGCATTCTAGTGTAGTCATTTATAGACAGGCTACCTTTGCAACTAGTTACATTGCCACACTTCATTAAAAAAAACCCAGCACATAACCTATCAGAGCACTTCTGAATCCCTATAATACAGGTACAGAATGTAGTTTCTAGTCATGAGATCTGAACAGCAGCCTACAGACTAGATGAGAGATTCATCCTGGCCCTTGCTATTAATCAGTCTCAGTTTAATTAGCAGCTCAAGCAGTAGTCTCACCTTCAATTATGTTCTCTCCTTTCTAAAAACTACAGAGCTGTACTAAAATTAGGTTGAACAAAGTATGTTATGTTCTGAAATAAAGACTCAGTCCCATTGGGATAGCATGCAGTTGCTTGTCACAAGAGCACTGTACCTGAGCACTCTATTTTCTGTCTTCAAGTAATTTTAGTTGTAATTTCACAAAATACTGTAATATAACCAAATATAAATAATATTTAATATTGTATCCTACACACACTCCGTACAAGATGTGATTGTACAACTGTAACCTGCCTTTTCTTTTTGCCCCTGTATTAGCAATTTACAATTTTGACAGTATTGTATTTAACACTGATATACAGCTCTGTATCACCCTAAAAGTTGTGTCAGAAAGTACATTAAGTATGGAACCTTAATTTTAAGGAACAGGTTAAGTGGTAATATTCCAGTGAAAAATTCTCTTACCAGAGCTTGATGACAGAAGAGCTTCTTTGTGAGAAGGTGTTTTAATAGTGCTGGTAGTTTTATTTTCACATCCTCTCTTCACGGTTGACACAGATGGCACCATTTTAACCTTGGGAGCTAATACACTTCGTAGTGTGATTTGATCTTTCTTTGGTATTTTTTTCCCTTGTGTTGTCCCATCTTTCACAGAAGGTGTCTGTTTTAAGAAAAAAACAGAAACCAAAAAGCCAACAACCTACACACCACCACTGTGAGAAACTGAAGATCTCCCTCTGCAGCATCTGTAATGAAATACTGGTCACCCAAGTAGGAAACATGCTTAGTCTTTATCCCATTGTCCACATCTGCAGTTCAGAACCTCAAGAACCATCTCCTGAGTGGCCTTCAGCAACGCAAACCTATTAGTTTGAAGCTAACCACTAGTAATGACCAACACACTAAAAAGAAGTTACAGAGGTCATTTTGCATCAGAATTTCTTCTTCTTCCTCCTCAAACTCCAATTAAGCCACTCAACTACATGACTACACCTAATCTCAAGATCTTAACCAACAAACTACACATGTTAATGTCCTGAGAAGTTGTCCTGTACTACCTGAAATGTCACAGCCCTTGTAACAGTTTCCTGGTCTAAATCTCATGTCACAACAGCTTAAAATCCTTCACATTGAGGTGAAACATCTATGTTTCACACAGAATTTTTGCTCCAGTTTACATAGCCTTTAGTTCATGGCCACTCCTGCCAAGCCTATAAAAATACACTTTATGATTCAGCTCTTCATGTGCTTTTCTGTGACCCAAGCTGATTGCAGCAATTCGGTCGGAGTACCAAACTCCATTTCTGACTACAATCCTAATCTTCCTTTTCGGATGTTAATCTGTACTTTTCCACTTAAGAAGACCACTTCTTAAATTTAACATAGCTGATTTGTCTACTGCACATTTTTATAGAAATTTCTCTATTGCTTCTCCAGTTACAAGCAGAACAATCAAAATCACAAAGTTTTCCTTTTTGGCAATGGAATCAATTAAAAGCATTCTCTCCAACTCTTCATACCAAAAGTAAGGACTGATAAAGAATGCAAACTCTTAAAGACTAGAGAATTAAAACAGAGCATCCTTGCTCTCATGTTTACTTAGGTTTTCAAGTTAAATTATTACTCTAAAAAATAATAGTACTTTTTAATTTCTTGTACAAAGTTTCAAAAATGTTCCAAGTAGCTACCCCATATACTGAGCTTCACTGGGATTTTTCTGGCAAACTAGTAAAGCCTGTCAAAAATTCAGACAATGACAGTTTTACAGTAACAGCTGCTGCCTCCATTTCACCAATATAATGTAAGCTGTTGAACCCACAAGCCAGCAACAGAAGGGACTCCAAAAAGCACTGAGACTCCAATTCTGTGTCCCTACCACACCACTTGAAACCCTGCTCTACCCACCCCTAGTGTTGTCCCTCCTTTCCCTCCATTCCTTTTCTTTTAACCTTCCTTCAGTGCATTTGAAAGCAGCACATTTCTCGTGACAGGCAGCTGACTCATCCCAAAATATTTCCCAACCAACCAGTGCATGCATACCTCCCGGCCAGGAAGTTTGCACCTTCCAGCTGGCTGACTGCCTAAGACCAGGTATATGCCCTCTGCATGAGAAATATTTCCTGACTACTCCCAACTATTCTAATGAGTCCCGGCTCTACTTCAAACAAATAAACTTCCAAACTATACAAAGGAGACAGTGAAATTAAGATGTTAAAAATAAAATGTTTGAGCAACTTATTGGTCTCTGGGTTTTGTTACTGCTTATATATGCACAACATTTACATAATTGATTTTAAAAAGTGTACTTTAGTTCTAAAGCACATTCTGAAAGAAAATATCGAAACCAGCAATTTATCTCTAATGTCTATTTGAGGTTATAGCACCACTAGAATAATCTTGAAAAAAACATACGTTAAAAGCTGTATTTAGAAAACCTCACTAAGTTACACTAGGCAATTTTACAGGGTTGACTAAATCTTACAAACTGTATTGTCTTAAAAGGATTTTACTAAAAAAATTGTGTTATGAAATAAGATGAAGGTGGAAACACTAAATTGCAGTTGAGGCCAACTGCACCCAATCTGTAAAGCAATACTTCTTCACCGTCCTTACTAGGGAGAAACTCCACATCGAAATCAATGCTACAGTTACACTTGTAGACACCAAACCCATTTCATAATTTCCACACTGTGCAATACTGAATTTCATTTTGCAAGTGTACAAAACATACAAGTAAATATAAAAGCAAAAAAACTTACCAAAGGAACAGAGTGCACCTCAAATGTTTCATTTGCCATATCATTTACCAATGTTGTTTCCACAAGCACTCCCACGTTGCTGCTTTGCTCTTTTCCACCTTTGGTCAGGTCAATGTTTTGAGTACAAGGCATCATTAAGGAGTTTGAACTTTCCATTTTATCATTTAACATCTCTTTCGAGTTCTCTCCAGATGCTGGAAGCACAGCAGAAGCCAAGGAGCACACTGGATGGGAAGCACTTGCTTTGTCAATGTCTTGCAAACTTTGCTTTAACACAGGTGTTTTTGAAACCTTGTGGGAAGCGTTTCTGGGATGTGCTGTGGCATGTCCGACTTGGCTAGTGAAGAGATGTTTGTTAACATGCAGCTTATGGGGCTTATTTACAGGCATTTCCACCTTAGCATCTTTACCCAGGTCTACGGTTTTTTTCAGCACTTTTATAGAGGACAATTGCCTTGGAGAACCAACCCTTGAAGGTGAGGAGACAGATGATAGTTGAGGGGACTGGGGAGACTCTTTTAATGCTGCACTGTCTCTAGGCTGTACCACAGGTCTAGACACAACCTTTGGTTTAACATTTTTAAAATTAGGTTTGGGAAAACTAACTATCTCTGATTTCTTTGCTTTGGTTATTGTGGATACAGTAGGAGACCTGCCCACTGATTTTCTTGCATTTTGATCTGAACTAGCTTTAAGCCCAGACCTTCTGTTATGCCCTCCAACAAACGTTTCACTTGGTCTTAGTCTAGAAGACTTGCCTCCAAGTTCTTCCAAAGCTGAAAGAGAAAAAGTCCTATTTTTTGATTGTTCTTTAGGAGTTGAAGTACATAGAGATGAATTGCTTTCATCAGCTGCTGGACTGAAGACCACAAAAGTTGCTTCGCATTTCAGCTCAGGCATAACTGTTTTCTTTAATTTTGGAACACTGCAAGATATAGAAGGAATGTTGTGCATATTCTGAAGAGCAGCGTTTCCAGAGATACTTTTTTCTTTGGTTAATGGTTCATTTGTTTTGTTTGATACTTGTTCTCCATCCATTTGATCTACTGGGAGAAGGTGCACACTATTTACAAGACTACTCATGCCTATTTCAGCATTGGAACTCCCAGCTTCACCATGGTAAGGAGTAATCTGCAAGGATTTCACTTGGTCATCCTCATTAATATTAATGCATGGTGATAATGCATCTTGCTTATAAGGCTCTACACATCCAGCAGGTAGTTCTACAGCCTGTGTTTCTGTTTCCTGTGATTCTTTATCAGTGTTGTTAGGGTTTTTTTGATCGTGTTCAACACCTGCACAGGTGAAATTAGGTGTTCTTTCTGAGCTTGTTCTATCAAATTTCTCACTGATACATACTTCAGAAGAGATCAATGTTTCTCCCAAATGCATGTCATCATTTTGATCAGTTCTCAGATTTTCACCTGTAACATTAGCAACATCCAATATGCTCAGCTGGCAGCATGCCCTGTCATTTTTCAGGGACTGTATGTTCTGCTCTGGAGCAGGAAGAGTTAGTACAGACTTAAATTCAGTCTGATTGTAAGGCACTGAGTGTTTGATACTCTGATTTCGCATCATTTCTATAGCAAAATCGCTTTTCACTAAGCTTGTCGCTGCTTCCAAGCCACAGTTCAAAGGACACACACAAGTGTGTTCAGCCACAGAAGACTTGTGTGCAGCATCTGTATCTCCCAATAGAGGTCCTGTGCAGCTGTATTTACCAGGTGTCTTCTGCAGATCAAGTACTTGAATACACTGTTGTTTTAAAAGACTTCTGAAGTCACCCTTATTTTCAAGAATGGTATCACCCTCATGCTCAGCCACTATATTTTGGTCAGTTGAATCACCATGTAGCTTGGTGGCACAATTCTCTGAGGAAGGTGTACTTCTGTCACATGCATAGCTATTTCCATTTTCATCCCTTATAAGTAAGGAAGACTTCAAGCCATTCCTTGCTTTGTCATCAGACTTCCCAACATTCATTTTGAAGGCTAAATTTTAAACCGTTTTCATTTTATAATTCTTTACAATCCCAGAGAATGCAGATTCTTCTAAACTTTGCAGAAAAAAATACCAACTGCTTTTTCCTGGAATGTGTCAATTGTCCTGAAATATATTTAAAAAGCAGTTCCTTGTTTCCATGTTTCCCAAGAAGATTCAAATGTTCTGGAATTAAAAAGAAATTTTAAAAAGTTAGCCAAACCAGGATTTTAAGACAGTAATCATTCCTAAGTTTCTGGTCTTCAGACATCAGAGCAGCAACATAGAAGCAACACTCAGAATCCCAGTGAAGAAAAACTTCAGTCCTCATCCCTTGATGAAGAGCAATAACAACCCCAGAGACTGTTTTTTTTTCTGCATTGAAGGCTTTTTTCCTGCCCTTCAAGGCAGCAATGCATAGCAGAGGTGGCTGAAGATTTTCAAAGGGTAATTTAAGACACCTGAGATGAAATAAAGAAAAGAGAGGAAGGTTGGTGATCAGCTCTGGGGCTACAGCAGTACACTGCCCCCATGCTGGTGGGGCAACTATAGATGCATGTGGGACCCCTTCAGAGTCACTCACTGGAAAACAATTCCATACCAGTTAACTGCCTCCATCTTCTATAAAGAAGACACGAGATTAGCCAAATGATGAAACAATTCCAGTGTCCTCTCTAGCAGAGCAGAGCCATATATCCTCACCCAAAACCCTATGGAAAGGTGAAGGGGCAGGATTGACATGGACAACTGATCACACACGGGGTGGAGAATCACAAAGAACAGCACAGAGCCCTTGCAACATATAGTGACAAGTTCCTAACAAGACTGCACCCAAGTACCAAAACCACAAGGATGTGAATGAGAGAGAAGATCAAACTGTACAAAGCAGCTGGATAACCTCTGTAGCACTCCACATAAAAGGCTCCTAGTACCAGAAATGCAACCAGAGGTAGGAAGAACTTCAGATTTATAACAAATGGTTGCAGTGGGTGGAGAATCTGTCAGAAGCACGTTCACTTTCAGAGCAATAAAACCTGAATAGGAGGGAAGAAGTTCACTGGATCGGACAAGGCAACCTGGCTGATGATGCATTAATGGACAAGATCAGCTTCCCAACTGAAGAAAATGAGCATCGGTTGAACCCTTCACCTGTCTGGAATGACAAGATTATACTCTCCAATCAAAGACCACGAAGGAGTACACTTGTCATCAAAAATAATGAGCAAACAGGTCTGTAGTGTTTAAACAAAAATGCAGACATCAGAGTGTGGTGTCCTCAAACAAGGATACTGATGTAATGACATATTTGAAATTTGGTGCAGCAGAACATGTCCGTCAGGATTAAGTATGGATGGTGGGCAGAATAACTCATAATTCACATGAGAATTATATTAAAATCTGGACTTATTTCACTGTTTCAACCACGGTGGCAATACTGGATGCAATACAAAACAGTTGTAACAAGATCAGAAAAGATTATAATAATAATACTACTAATAATAGATTTCTTGTATAGCAATGTTGATTAGGCACATTAAAGAATAATTCTGTAATCATATTTTTGTAGAAGAATCAAAGACTGCTTTGGGAAACAAGTTTGTTCTGAGAAGAGATGCAACTTTTGATTAATTCTTTAACAAATAAGTTTAAATCCTCACAGAAATCATATAAACCATTCTGGAAACCACAGCAGGGGAAAGAAAACACTCTTATGCACAAATGCTTTGGAAAGCATAAAATGAATCCAGCATACTAAATAGTGAAAGACAAGTTACTTATTGCATTATTCAAAAATCACTTTTTTCCTTAAATCTTACTTTCTTCAGCTGGAAACACAGCCTGAGTAACTACATTCAAAAAAAAGCATTTATCATACTAATGAAAAGTATAAAGCTGCAGGGCCTATAAACAATTTTGAGTACAAAAAAACAGCACCCAAAGTAAGACTATTGTAGAACTGCAAGAATTTGTCTGCTCACTATGAACCAAACACAGAGTGGCTTTAGGCCCACAACCTTGACTTTACATGATACTTTGAACACCTGACTCTGAAAGGAAAAAGACCATGAAACAAGGAAAGAAAAGCTACCAAGATCAGAGAGCACAGCTTCCTCTGCCCCCCTACCACCCCCAAGATGAAATGGCTTGTGTAGCTAAAACATCTCCTGGTTCCTCAAGGCTGATGTAGATCTTTTGCTTACCCACTATTATTCAATCCCTAAAGAAGCATAAACAACTGTAGTACTCTCACCTTCACCTTCAATTAGGAAACTTAAGGCAGATTGAGGAGTTATTAAAAAAAAGTCTTCCCTGAAGGCAGGGCAAGAATCTGTTCTGAATAATTTTCCATTCGTTTAAGTCAATCACAGAATCAACTGCTGAGAAATATTTGCAAACTTTGCTTTCACTGTTGTTTTGACACATTAAAACTTGTTTCTACTTGTCTGGATACTAGCCCTTAACACAGCTTGCTCACCTAGTCATGCAACAAAAGTCGAGATTCCATTTTGATTCAGCAGTAGCTCGGATCAAACCAGAAATCCTACCTCTTTCAAGAGATTTTTTTTTTCTGCAGAAAAGAGGAAACTTCAATATATCAAGACTTAGCAAGAATAAAATGCCAAGAATTTAAAGAATGGTGCATTACCTTACAGTATATGAAGCTAATAATGCCAAAATTTGAAAAAACACGGGTAGCTAAGTCAAGTTTTATTTAATTGATGCTGAAGAAGCTCAAAAAAATGGTTTTGATAGCAAGTGGAGAAATGTAGCACATTAAAGTTGCATATACCAAGGTGTGTACATATATATACATAGGTCTGTTTACTCAGTGCTCTGGACTTTCCGACAGCCAGAGAACATGTAGAAATAAATTACTAATTCAACTATTTTTAAAGCAAATCTTCACTATAGTAATCAATACTTTCATGAACAAGTAGACCAGCTTCAAATACAGCTCCACATCTATACAGAGTCCTGAAATCATCCTGCATTAAAAAAAAAGAGGTATTCCTAAGGATCAGGTATGGTATTTAAAAATCTGTAACCTAGATGAACACTATTCCTGAAAGAACTGACATTCTGTAACTCTCCATGTAACAATATGTTCATTACGCTTATGGAAACACTTCCTGGAGACGAGATATTCATTAGTTTTAGATTTGCCATAGAAGGCTGAATGAAAAATTAACTTCAACCCAGCATCTCCTCCATGGGGGAGGTCAGTAGCAAACACACAGACACAACAGTTGCCCTCACCGAGAACACACTGTTCCTGGCAACTAGTGACTTGAGGAATTCTCTAAACTAAATACTAATAAATTTGCTTTGACTTGGTCTTACATCAAGCATTATGAATGCCTGGCCTCCACAACACACTACAGTGCAGTGCAAAACAGTTCAGCTGTTTTTGCCTTTAGTAAAGTTCAGCTTCCCAAATTTCAGTTGTGTACTTCAAGTGCTTACTCACAGCAGAAAAAGTCTTCACTACCCGAGCTCTAAGTTTTCCCCTTCCTCAACTGAAATAAGAGCTTGGGTTAACAGTAGTACCACTTGAGAGAAAAAAAAACCAAAACCACAAAACAACAACAACAAAAACCCGAAAAGAACAAACAAACAAAAAACCAAACCAAAGCAAAAAACCCAACAACCCACAAGAAGCTTGGCAAGTAGATTATCCTAAAAAGAGGAGGGATTGCCTGCCAACAGCCCCAGATCCAAGAGAAATACACTGCAACATAGGGAATTGGGCTTAGAGCAACATCTTGTTACTTCTGCTAACCAACAAGAGGTGTCCAGGGGTGTGCTACTAAAGGGCAGGACAGTCAGTCATTCAGTGTGAGGTAAACAGGAATCAAAACAGATAATTACAAAACATAATTCAACTCACAGGTTGACCAATTACTACAAGAATTCAAGTCAGCTTGTGTTAGTGTCACAATGCAGACAAGAGCAATTTTCACTTTTCCTCGAACTCCATCTGGAACTTGATTCTTTCAAGCAAATCACCATAGAGCATTTACTCAAACCCATCAGTCATATGTTTGTGAAGCCTGTATGAAGGGGGACATGGGGTGGGGAATAAACCTTAAAGGAGAGGGTGTGCCCAGACATGCAGGAAGGCAGTCTAGAAGTGCTTTAATTAACTGAACATGTTTTGATACCAGACAAAATGCAGCATCAGCATTCCCACAGGAAACCATATTACCTGGTCATGATTACCACAATCCCTGGAATTAAAAACCCTACAAAGCATTTCATATGTTAATGCATTACACTACAACCAGTTTACTTGATCATGTCCTGGAACACAACACCATCACAGAAGCATGACTTTTCAGCATATACACCTGAAGGCAGAGATGGCATCATCTACAACAACCAGGCATCCCTCCCAACATGCTGTTCAGTGTTGTTTGAATATGTCCCACAAGAAAGCACTAGGAAAACACAAAATGTTTCAGATAATGCTGTATTTACACAGAATTGCAAGTAACAGCGCTCTCTATGCTGCCTCAGTAATGTCACATTCTAAACTATTGCCAAGCTAACTCAAACTATTCTAGAGAGAATAAGTTAAGCTCCTATAACAACTTCATACATACATCTATAACATTACAAGCACAATCATTCTACTCCTGAAAGTGCATTACATTAAGTTCTCATATGCTCAAGGCATTGCTTGCTTCAGAATACACAGTATCACCAGTGAGGGTACTGTGAATGTGTTTATTAAATAATATATATTAAAAAATATATAAATATATATAATATATTATTATTAAATACTATATTATAATATACTATATCATGTATATAGTATGAATTTATATAATATATATTTTATATAAAATATATATGAATATACTGGAAATAAATATATTTTATAATATATATTATAAATATATATAATAATAAATTATTAATTATAAATATATATTATAAATATATATATTATTACATATAAATGTATGTAAAATATATATAAAATATAAAATCATTTATAAAATAACCAAAATCTCCAACAAACTACCAAACCAAAAACAGACCCACCCCACAGGGTAGCTAAGCCGTATCTGTATACTTCAGAGACATTTCAGAAGTCAGGAATCATGTCAGACACTTGATGCAGTAAGCAGAAACAATGTGCAAGTTATGTTTGCAAGCAATTGTGCAGGCATTTTTGACTGAAGGAGTACTATCACTTCCAAAGACATAAACCATCAGGTTTTGCCTTCCACCGGGTTGTTTGCTAGCCTGTTTCAAGACTAGAGAAGCAGCATAACATAAAAGTTACAGTAATCAGGGAGCATTAATTTTAATCAGTTACATCTTAGCTCTAAGATATGAAAGAAGTAAAGTAGAACAGCAGCTCCACTGTGGAAATCAGACATCCTGAAGCTGTGCAAGAGGTTTTGACTTCCCATAAGATGTTTAAACCATGACACTACCATCAGACTACCCCAAAACTTGACAGCTGATCCTAACAAGTACATTGACCCTTGTAGTTTCTCCTAGTAGTGAGTACATGGTTGTTTGAGATGCCAATACTACTAGCACTTTCCCCAAACTCTCAGTCTCCAGAGACTCATTCCTCAGAGTGTTGGTTCAATGGAAAGTTTCAAAGGCTTTCAAACCCTTATTCTCCTTGGCCATAGTCATTGCTTTGCTAAGATAAAAAGTCCTTATCTAATTAATTATAAACCCTGGCCATCCTTGTTGTCCTGTCTTTAAGGATACTATGCTGTTCTCTCCATCTTCAACTTCAGACTATTTGAAAGCTCATAACAAACAGAGATACTCCAACAGATTTATACACTGTCTTGATAACACAGTTCTTCCTTTAACAATTGAATTTAACTTCTGAATTTTATTGTTAAGTAAGTTTTAGAACTCTGTATTCAGTAGTGGGACACTGGTCCACTAATTTTTTTGAACTAAGTAAATAAAGCCCATCTTTTACTTAGATAACCAAGATACTTAATAACATTGCCTAGAAATGTCATCCAGTATTCTAAGGATTTGGAGGTACATGCAACCTCCTAGACCACAGTGTTATGCAAATGCATATGTCTTTTCCCCCCCATTCTGTTTTACAGCAACTGCCAGGATGAAACTCATGTAAGTAAGAGCTAAGCAAACACCAGCCAGTGACAAACACCAGCTATTAACACACTGCAAGTAAGGAAGTGTACTTTATTGTGAGATTAAGTGCATGAGCAAACAAAACCAAAGCTACCTATTTGAAGGTGTAGATGAGAACAGCAATAAGCCCCTTGCTTGAACAGTCCAGCAAACTCTCATAACTTAATCAGACTCTCATTTGTAGCTTCATCAAGACAGCATTCATTGCTAAAAGTGTCAGACTACTCAAATGGTTTTCCAAGTTTTCAACTGCACACATAGTCAGTTATATACATAGTTATAAGCTGTTTATCCACTGCCATTGTGAACAAAGATTGTGAATGGTTTTCCATGAGATCAATAGTCAGTTTGTTCCTCTGTAGGAACTTGCAAGAATGCCAAGTTCTTTCTTAATAGTAAATTAGATACTAGCTTTACAGAAAGAGACTTTGGGGATTTTTTCTGTTTGTTTGCTTTTTTTTTTGCTATTTTATCACAACTAAATTATTTAGCAAAAGTATGTGTTATTGCACAAGGAAGGATAAACTTTCAGGTCTAAATGAAAGTAAGAAGCTGGAACTTGAAAAAACAAACAGTACATTTATTATGGCACTTCCTTGCAAGGTCAAGGTTCAGGTACCTCTTTTTGAAAGACTTGATTGAATAGGTAAGCACAAACAAGCCTGAGACTGTCAGAGCTCAGTGTTCAACACACCTCATCAGTGTTCAAGTTATTTGACTAGATAGGGATTACAAATCAGGTCACCTTCTCTGTTTCCTGGAATTCTGCTAAACTGGTTTTGTTCAGTGCTACCATTTAAAGGGTACATTCATACATTTTGGTATCTTGAAGCTATGAAACAGTGGGCCAGGATTATTCACGGAAATTTTCCCTCTGATTGAAATATGATCAGTATAAGGAAGAAAGGCAGTAATGCATTATGAAGAACAAAAATACTTTGTGAGCTCCTGCTAGGTCTGTCCATCTGCTCACACAGACCAAATAAGGATATCCAGCAATTTTCCTAACGCCTCTCATCATATGTTCTTGATCATAATTTCTCATTCTCTGACAAAATTCCACCCATCAGCACCTTTGCTGCCCATTTTCCTTTAAATCAACTTCAAATAGTCAGAATAGAAGCGGTTTCAAACTAACAGATCATTCCTCCCACCAACTTTTCTATTCTGCATTTTATGTTTCTCTTCTTTACAGACCTGTTGATCCTATTAACTTGCCCCGTGTTTTTCTCTTCTCATCCTAGCTACGTCAAATCTAGTAGAGAAGCAGGTACACAGGGAAGCAGTGCAGAACAGTAATTATGCCTCAGATTTTCAAGCCAAATGGCTATGTGTTTTTGCTGGTGGCTCTATGGTGATGACTTTTTTGTGTGTGATTTTTAAAATTTGGGTTTCAAATATCCTGTTTATTTAATAAATAATATTTAAGTGAAGACTGTCTGCTGATAATCTCCGCTTCTCTGACAAGTACAAAGCTTTAACAAAACAGCAAGTACAACAGGTAGAAATACTCTGCAGGAACAGTACAACGTTGCAAGAGTGGTGGCTAAAATGACAATTGTAACCTTGGGGGTAAGAAAATAAAAAGTTTGTTGGCTCCTAAGAATGAGCCACAACTTGGCAGGTCAGAGTACAAACAGCTTTAACACAATTACCACAATGTGCCAGGCAGCATACACTGAGAGTTCTTAAGGTTATGTGCTAACTTGAAACTTCTTCATGTTCCTGAACTTTTTATGAAGCATATGTGCCCACAGCTCTAGTGTGAGTACGATACAACTTGGAGCTGAATTTACCAGTACTCTTTGTATGGGCTGCATCAATGGAATCAGACAGTTAAAGACACAGAAAGACTCATCTGCACTGCGTGTCCTTCAGATCTTCACCTACAGCTGAGAAGCCTTTCAGCATTTGGCTATATTTAACACAGACATATGATATGAACTAGTTTACAGAGCATTTGGAGTACTCTCAACCTGTAGTGAAGTAAGATACTGTAAGTACAGCAGTATTATTTAGTTCTAGTGGAATATTCTGTGCAATACATTCATAATTTGACTAATTTCTATGAAAAAAGCAGACCAAAATGGTAACTAAAGACTGAAAGAGCAGCATCTTTGCCATGATATTGCTTTGCAGTAGAAATTCAAGAAATAATCAATATGCTTAGGATTTCTCACATTAACCAAGTTAGAAATTAACCAGCTTGCAGTTTTTGCAGACTCAAAAGTTGTTTGCTGTGCAGAAATGGTCATCTACTCCATAAAGACTACAGCCAGCTAAGAAGAGTTTCCACTGATGCATCAAGTTCTACCACTGAGTTAGGACTGCACCTTTGCCCAACAACATCATCACAGCAGAATTTAATTCTGAAGATGCTGCATTTGCCAATTAAGAAACAGTGCTTTTAGATTTAAAAATTACTTAGGCTATTGATTCTATATAGTGAAAAAAAAACCAACTAACAAAACTGCAATAAATTGGTTAAAGGAAATAACATTTTAGTAGCCAAATAGGAAGCAGCACCAACCCAATGACTGGAAGTCCTAAAGGCATAATGGCTGTTGAGGATTTTCAGCAAGTATTGCTGGATAGTAATTTAAATCCCAACAGTTTTGTCTGACTTTCACCTGCAGTGTTGCACAACTGGGATCTGGAGCAAGGGGGCAATTCACAACCATTGTTTTAAATGTTGTAGTCTCAGGCAAAAATAACCCAAATAAAACACATTTGATTTACATTCAAAAGAAAATCTTGTTATTTTTCCTACAAAGGAAACTGTTTCTCAAGTGAGATCAGTCCTGATAAAAGAACTGTATACATTCTACATTTTTTGGTTGTTTCCCTTTGGACCCAGGAGACAAAAGTCCCCAAATTCAAGAGGGAGGGACCAGCTCTGCAAAACACAGCACTGCACCTCTGCAACAGATAAATAGCAAGAAATATGCTGTGGCAGTTTTGCAGAGGTGGTTAAAAAATTTAAAAAAAAAAAAAAAGAGCAACAGCTTGATTTATGCAGTGCTATTGGGTAGCAGGCTGCAGTCGTGCTCTCTGGAAAGCACGAGCTCACCGTGCCGCTCAACACAGCTGACAACAGGCTGCTTCCAGCTCCACAAGGGCTGAAATTCCACCAGAACCCTGAAGGTGAAGGACAGGAGAGAAAGGAAAGTTGGGCACATGTTGTTTGAAAGGCTGCCAGGGTAAGGTTACCCAAGGGACCTCCAGAGAGGGATCCAGACATGCAGGCTTGCTGGTTGTGCCCTGCAGTTTCTCCCTGGCTCTTGGGATAGGCCTCCATTGGAGCCCTGAGCATCAGCCCTCCCAGAAAGGGGGGGTTCTGCATTTGCAAAGCAACAGCAGGACGCAGAGCTCCTGAACAGAAATCATCCTTGTTAGTCCATTTGAGATCCCACAAGAATGCTGTAGTCTAGCAAAAATAAATAAATTCCTTCCTTAAAACTCAAGTGATACAAATTAATTTTTTAATATTTTTCCTTTAATCGATTTGCTTAAAGTGAAACATAAAATCCAAATGGTTCTTGTTATAAAACTACATGTTGTTTTACAGTACAGCCAAGCCTCTTCCAAAACTTTATTCAGAGAGCTGAAGGATAACTTCAAATGTAAATTTAAAAGTTCTTCCCATTTAACTAAAAGCTGACTTGACAACTTCCCACAAGAGTAAAGTGTATATGCATCATCACATCATTGCAGACACCCTGGAACTACGGTTATATATATGGGAACATTAGCTTTGATTTCAACTTAAGACTGTCTAAAATAAATACCACAAAAGTGTTACATACCTAATGGCACATACAGCATGGACTTGATGCTCCCCAGTCAGTTTCAGCTTCTGTACAGTTCCATTAGATGATATACACACAGCTACAGGACACTGCAGACTCTGGCACTGTCTTTGTGCTACCAAGTGAAAAAGGAACCCTCTGATTTTGTAATAAATTAGATCATAACCCTTGAATGACTGACAACCTAATAGGGTCTCATGATTAACAGACAAAAACTGCCTCTCTTCCTCTGGCTGGGTTTTTCAGAGTCAGCTTTGTCTTTTTTGCAAGAACTGATCACACATTAACTTATGCCATCCAGCACCCTCAGTCAGGCAATTCACTCATACACAAGGATAGGTCCTCTGCAGTCTTTCGAACTTGCTGCCATGTATAAACTACCCAGTCTACAATACAGCTCACCTCACATTTAACCCTTTTGGTTTTGCTTCACTGGCTTATAAGCCTGATGGAGTGAAATTGCATACAGGCAGTGACAGCAGCATGATGATTTAGAGGTCATCACTCTGATCTTGTACACTCTTAAGCAGTCATTCTACAACCAAACGCCTAGTCTTCTTAGCAGCAACTTATACAATACCATTTATTGGGCTAAAACACATTTAAAACATGCAAATCTGCAGTAGTAAATAACTGTGAGAACAAAGGAGCTTCTCATTAGTACTATCTAAAAAAAGTCTGGAGAGGAAAAAAATTACTGCAACTGCTGTAGATTCTGCAAAGAGACAGAAAAAGATTCTATTTAAATGATCTTCCATATTCTTACAGTCAAAATTCAAAAGGTTCCCTGGTTCAAAACTATAGAGAGCACCACGTTCTAAAGCATCACTATGCACAAGGTCCTCCAAAGCTGTGCTTTCCAGACTGTTCATCCAAGGACATAATACATATCCATCATGAACTATCATGATATATCATCATGAGACAGAATACTACTTCTTGGATTAACAGTGGTCACAGACCTTCACTATTTAGTTCTGCTGAGTACCAGATGGCACCAAATGGCAGCTTCTGGGTCAGTCACTTCACAGTACAGAAATCTATGGAACTATCATCCATATCAAAGGCGAGTCAGAAACACTTTGATAAGGCAAATATTTTACCACTCAGCAGTGCAGGAAAGCTCCTACACAGGGCTAACACAAGGAAGCATACTTGAGTAACTTCATACGGCTGACATTACTTTGGAACACAGATAAGAAACTCACGCATTTCAGCTTAAAGAAGGAAAACAATTCTCACACATGGCCATGTACTTGGTCTGCACATTGCACAGGTGGAGGGGTGCTAGGGAATGAGGAAGAAATACTATTGGAAAGAAATACACAAAAAACTGATGCTCAGGTACCTAGTATAACTTAATTAAACTTGCACAACCAACTACTGTCCTGTGAAGGGTAACCAACTTCCTTTTGAAAGCAATCTCAGTTCATTTAACTGTGAATGACAGAATTACTTCCCCTACCAGCAACAAAGCTTGTCAACAATGTTGCAGATTCTAAATTTCCATCTAGAAATTCACCAATTCACAGCGCAAAAACAAGGATCCTCATGTCCTGCTCAATCAAGACTCTGCATGCACTGCTTGTTGATACAACTCTGCTAAATGAAACACCAGAATGCTGGAGCAAGCTGAACACAAAAACACCAACAAAATAAAAAAGCCCAAACTATAACACACACCCAGTGCTGAGTAATCTTAGAAAACAAACAGGGGGAAAAATCATTTAGCTTCTCCTGCTAGGAAGATACATAGCCCTAACTGCCAAGAGCTGAGGAAATAAAAAAAAGTAGAGATGAGCTGAACAGAACATCCAGGAGAACCCACAGGATCCACTGGATCTCTCATTTCTCTAATTTTAGAGACTATTTAAGAGTTCTTTCTCCCTCCCTCATCATGTATTGCAGGATATTCCTGGAAGAGAAGGCTGCTTCTACCTTGATTTTCCTTCAAATCCACCACTGAGGTTCTGCTCTCTCTAAGCCAAATTAAACATACCAGAGGTGTTTTCACAAGCCATCTGGGTAGTATACTGCTCACAAATGTCAACTACAAGCCATTAATGCTGCATTAGGAACTTTCTCCAGAGGAAATTGCCTCACAAGAACCAGGGGTGGAAAGGATTGGCACCTGGAAACCACTTGCTTCCATCCCCTGAAAAGTCCAGCTACAGCAAAGCCTTCATGATTGCAAAGGAGTATTTGGTGGTTAGACTTGAAACTGTTCAAAAGGTTGCTGGAAGAAATAACAAAGAACAGTAGTCTGCCAAATAATGCTAGGAATAGGGTGGTGACAATCAAGTTCCTGAATTTCTTCCATCTACAAGGAAGTTCCTAGTCAAAGCAAGGTATTCCAGAAGTCAGAAGGGAAGACAGCACCCACGAAGTGGATTATCCTGCAGGAGGCCAAGGTTCAACCTGTGGCAAGTACTAAGTGTTCAAGGTAGTCCTGCTCTTCTGATCTTGCACGTGACAAACTGACTGGTGCCCTGAGCATTTCTGATCAATGATGAAGGTTTTCAAGAAAAATAAGGTTGTTTTTTTTTTAATTCAAAAGGAGAAAAATGTATATTCTTAAATGATCCCATGACAGGTAAATAACCTCCACTGAGGCATACATATTGGTCTCAAAATCAAGTGTGTCAGACAATCAAGCCTTCCACAGAAAAAAATTTCAGACTGAGTCCTTAGACTGTTTTCTTCACAAACCATTGCAATACAGAGAATGGCAGGTGTGAAAGGTAGAAAAAGCAACTGTTTTCATAATAGAAAACTGTACTAAAGTCTCCTGAACTGTTTCACAAAATCTTCCTCTCCCCACCCAAGGCAGAAGCAAGAGCAACTGACTGCTTAAACTTCCAGTTTCCAAAAGTTTAAAGTCCTACCAGTTTACCACCTGCCTTTGTGTTAGCAGTCACACCAAAACTGTTCTGTTTCTCCCTATCATGTTCTTTGAATTCTAAGCGTGCATAACAAGATTGAGAAACTGGGGCTTTCAAATTAAAAGTTGGCTACTAACAAATTTCAAGCTATATTCATTCCTAAAAATTATTTAGGTAAACAAATCTGCAATTCCATGTACTATAAAGAAACTGCAATTTCACACAGCAGGTGGTAATACAAACTAAATCCAAGCCAATCACATGGTATGGCAGAACGGCTGGAAACTCTATGAGAATACTTTCTCTACATAATATACCTGAGAGATTCACAGACTTCACTGAAAGAGCAAAGAGCCTTACACATAGAGAATAAACTGGCACTCACATACCAACAAGCTAGAGAGCATGTTTTGGTTTAAGCAGAGTCACCTTTACAAACACAAGGACACTGCTGCCATCAGTGCCTTCTCCAGTTCTGTGCTCCTAGCAGCCAATTTTTACATCTTTATCCTATGACTCAGTTCAGTTATTTTGCACAGAATGGACTGAATACAAGAAACACCATTTACACTGTGCTTACTTCAACAAGCCTGCTTAGCATTAGATTCCACATGCAGAAATAAAATAAAATAAACCTCAGTATTCAGGCTTATTTGTACGTCAGTACCTGTTTGCTTGTATGACTACACAATGGAAAAATACATTTTAAAAACTATTTAACCAATCAGTCACAAGTCTTATCACAATCACTGATTCAGTGCAATAATACATTGGAGCTTGCAGTTAGGTTAACTTGAATCAGATGCCTATCTCTACCTTACTCTTTGACATGAAGAGTAACTAATTTAAAGAGTACAAGGACAAAATACAATTCTAGGACTTAACTATTAAATGCTCAACCTTTAAATAACACAAAATATATTTACTAAGATCCCTGTTAAGTTTTCAACATCAAATATATATGTAAATCAACAGTTAGATCAGCAAATAATTTGGATTCCAGACCAACCACAGCTGAACTGATTTTATTCTGAACCAAACTATGTAATAACAAAGCCAAAGTCAGGCTCTGCTAACTGAAATTACAGCAGCAGAACCATGAGCAGAAGTCAGCATTTGCACAGACTCACCCCATGGCCTGGGCAGAACCATCTTGCATATACCTAGAAGGTCACTAAATTTAAAACATTAACTATGGAAGGAGAAACCAAATATCAGCTTAGAGAACATTCCTGTGGTCTCACCACCAGACTTCTTTCAAATTGAGGATGCCAAGTTTCATGTCTCTCATATTACATGAATGACATGAGTTTGACAGCCCAGGCATGACGTCCCACCTCTTTGCCAAGATGCACAGAGCCAGCTGAAGTCCAGAAAAGCTGACAGCTTCTCCAACACAAGGGAAACCACCTAAGCAGATTTAACAACCAAGCAGATGGAGCTGCAGCAACCAACTGCACTCTAACTTGAACAGTAACAACTACAAAGAGCATCATCAGGACCATGAGACAGCCCAACACCAGACTCTCCTGACTGTAGGCTGCCACATCTTCCCCACAATTAGAATAAACTCCAAGTTCACACATTCTAGGTGCTTGGGAAAAAACCAAAAGTTCTAGTCAAAGTAGGAAGAAAAGTAAAGGCCCCTTTGGAAAAGGGTATCTGAATAAAAGTCCCCACTCTGAGCAGAATGGCAAAGCTGGCTTTTAGTCTACTTAAGGGGTGGGGAGGAGGGAGGGGAAGAGTTAGAGGTGAGAGTCATAAGAACACATTTTGTTTAATAACCTACCATATTTAGAAAGAAACAAGATGCCAGTACTGTCATGCTTACCTAGAATATATACAGAGAAATACCAGTCACTAGCTGCTTCTGACAGAAAGTACTTGCAGACTTTCAGGTATTGGTTAACTGCTTTAGTGGCAACAGTGTATTTCTTGCACAAAACAAATTCAGCCACTACACTGATGCAAACACAAATCCCCTGCTTTCTCTAACTATAGCCTCACGGGTAAATCAGAGTCAAGTTGAAAGCTTGAAGTCAGGAGGCCTCACTTGCAACACAGATGGGCACACCTGCTTTACAAGCACATGAATGAGTTGTGTTCTACAGCAGAGTGACCAGGAATGGGACAAGATATGCAAGAATCATACAATTCTGGCCAACAATTGGTACTATAAAATCACCTCAGATCCCACACTCCCTCAGATCATAGTAAGGGAAACAAAGTTTGTGGACCTGTCTCCACAGGTCCACAC